ACATTAATTTTTTAAAAAATTATAAAAAAATAAATCATTATAAAACATACGGAATTTTGATATAGAATCATTAATTACGTATACAAACCTTAAAAAAAACGTATCATTTTCTTATTTCGATTTCTTATAGGGTTGTGTCATCTAATGCCTTTTTTATATCACTTGATATCTTAAAAGATTGCCAAATAGGTGTAGAATGAAAATATCCTAGGTATTTTAATAAGCAATTAAAGAGATTCAAAAATAGATGAACAAATAGATATCTTTTTATTAATAAAAATTTCGCAGAGTATTGAAAACAAGTGAATAGCAATAAGAAAATAAAAGCAGTAAAAAGAAAGAAAAAAGCATAACTATCAGGTTATATAGAACTATCAGATTAAAAACTTTCAATCACCATTAAATTATAATATTACCATTGGATTAAAGAGTTACATAAAAATAATAAAGTAGAAATAAATTAAAATAATATTTAAAGAATAATAAAGGAATCCAGAAATTAGAATATTAAACTACATATAGATTATGAAGTTATCATTAAATTATATAATTAGATTATAAAGTTATCATTAAATTATGCAATTAGATTATGATGTTACTATTAGATTATAACATTACTATTAGATTATAACGTTTCTGTTAGATTATAGTATTCTCATATAATCTGATTTAAGTCGCTAATAACTATATAACATGATTATATTATATAGTTACCAGTGACTTATCCTAATTATATATCATTTAATATATAGGATATTTGTTAAGAAATAAGTTTTTAAGAATTTTTAACTAAATTTATTCTTATTATATTTTAATTTAAAATAATCAAAAATTAAAATGCAATAAAAATTAAAATTTTATTAAAAATTTTCAGAATCTATTTTTTAACAACATTTTATATAGTGATTTTATTACTTAATGTATATGAATATCAAAAGTAAGAAAGTATAAATAACTGTTACTTATGTAAATTTATTTAAAAATATATAAAATAAAAAATAATTAATAAATATTAAATAAAACAATTATTTATATAATATATAAATACCAAAATTAGTTATCATTCAAAATTAAGCATTCCTCTTACTTTACATGATTTCATATATAAACTGCAAATAAGTACTCTTAAAAATTAGCATTTTATCTACAATCTATTACATCAAAATAATGTTTACAAATAAAGTAAATAAAGCAAAAAAATTATAAAATTAATTGTCTATATTATTTTTTTTAATTTTATCTTAAATTTTATATCTTTATAAATAGCATTATCTTTAGATCTATCTAACTTATTTAATATATCACATTTTAAAATAATAAAAGTGATAAATTAAGTATCCTTCAAACTTTTTGTTCAAAATCTTTTCAAAAAGGGGATAACTAATTTTGAAAAAATACAATATAATAAAATATATATATAAGTTATTAATAATATTAAAAAGTAATATATTATAATATAAATATATATTAAATTTATTAAATATTTTTTATTAACCTAATTTTATTTCTACCTAAGATTATTATTAATTTATTTTAATCATATTATATTTCAAAAGAAAAGAGAAAAACAATTTATTATCTATAAAAATTATTTTATTATTATTTTTTAAGATAAATTTATTATTTTAAATGAATAATTTGTATTATTCTTTTAAGATGATTTATGATAAATGATATCTTACTTTTAAAATAATTTTACATAATTATAATCAGATAATTTCTATTATTCATTTAAGGTAAATTTTATTAATAATTTCATTTAAAATAATTTTAATAATTCTTTTAATATATTTTTTTAAAATAGTATTTTAAATTTTTTCCTTTAATTTTTTTAGTATTTATTTATAAATTAAAAACTGTTATTAAAAGTATAAAATTATAATTATATTAATATTTTTTTAAATAATTATAAAAATTTGAGCTTACCTTTTCTTTCTTTTAATTACGATAAAGAGATTAGAAAATTTTACTGATAAAAATTACAATGACGTATTTACATTTACTGCGGTGAAATCAAAGGAATATTCGCGAATGAAAAAAAAAAAATTAAATTCATTCTTTTTTTTCTTTACTTATAATTGTGTACCGCTTTTTGGAAAAAATAAAGTTACCCCTGAAATTTGAAGAAACTAGAACAGTTACAAAGTTGGAAGTTAGACGATCGGATGATTGTGGCTTGGCCTGTGATTTTTCGAGTTGATGGAATTTCGACAGAGTTGGTTGGACACATTATTACATCTTCCGAAGTTCATATAAAGGTCCCATTCAACCTTTTTTTTTTCTTCTCGTAATACCTTTTTCCTCATTCTTCTACCATAAACCTCGTTTTGAAACCAAAATTATCTTTATTCCTTAACATTAAAGCCGTATTAACATTCATTCAAAATGGTTAAAACAAGAGCGGGTAGTAAACCACAACCAATGAACAAGAATATTAATTTATCTTCTACAAGAGTGCAAAAAGTGAACATTCAGTCACGGAAGACTATTATTACGCAAGTGAACTTAAATTCACAAGAGTTCTTAACGAGCTCAACTTTACATTTACAGAAGCAAGAGCCTCGTCCACAAAGCAATTCGCAGGCTCTTAAATCAGTTTTAACGAGCTCAATTTCACATTTGCGGAAACAAGAGTCTTATATACAAACTAATTCACAACCTTCGAGTTCCAAAACAATGAATTTATCAACAAATTCGCGCATGCAGGACTTCCAACCCCAAACAATTTCACAAGCTTCAATGCTCCCTTCATCATTGAGTTCAACAGGACAAACACGCATTCAAGGACTTCGTATACAAACTACTCTACAGACTTCAAAGCCACCTTCAATAACAAGTCCAACGTCACTTTCACGAATGCAAGGGCCACGTATGACAACTACTTCTACAAAATTGGCAGCGGTTGCAAAACCTTTCATAGAAACCGGTAAAAATTCCGGTACAATACCGGATTCTGTGGAAAAAGAGACGATTAGATTGAAGGAAGTTGAACCTATTATCAGCGAACCGTTCGACTTTACAACAGTTCGAACTGAATATCAATATAAAGACCCACCTAAAGAATCGCGAATAATAAACATTCCTGATGCTCCTACCCTTTATCCAACTCCTGAAGAGTTTCGGAACCCTTATGCATATATTGAAAGCATTGCGGACATAGGTCATCGTTATGGTATCGTTAAAATAATTCCTCCCGAAGGATGGAGACCTTCCTTTGTATTAGATTCTAAGGCAAGCTTTAATATTAATAATAATTATTATTATTTGATTATTATTATTAATACTTTCAATAAATATTATCTTATATAGGAATTTAGATTCAATACTAGGAAGCAAACAGTCAATACAATGGAAGGTCAAACTCGAGTCAAGTTAAATTATTTACAGCAATTGCAGATGTTCCATGCTCAGCAAGGGAAGAAGAATTTTGTGAAGCCGCCATTAGTAGATCGAACTCCCATTGATCTACATCTCCTTGCTAAGGTCGTCGAAGCGAAAGGAGGTCCAGAAGAGGTATAACATTATATTAACTTGTTAAATCATTAGTATTCATTATTTGACTAATGTTTGTATCTCCATTTTCTCTATTCTTTAATAATGAATTAGATCTCAAACAAAAAACAGTGGGCCGAAGTCGCAAGAGCAATTAGACCAGATGGTTATTCAGCGAAGTGTACTTCGCTCTCCAAAACAATCAAGGAGAAATATCAGGAAATAATCGAACCTTATGAAAAATTTATTGCTGAAGTAAAGGCAGAATGTAGGGAAGGTCGATCAATTAACTTACAGAACGATCCTGATCATGAATCTGATCGCATGGATGTCGATGAAAATATTTGTGGTATATGCGACTGTATTATTAGGAGCGATCCATTGAAATGTGAAGGAGACTGTCAAACGGCATTTCATTTGAAATGCCTCAAGATTAAACGCTCACAAATTCATCCTGAAGCTAGCTGGCATTGTCCAAAATGCTTATTCTTATTTGGGACTAAATTCGGTTTTGAGCCCAGCGATACATATACGTTAAAGGCCTTTCAACAAGTTGCTGATGATTTCCGACGAAGATATTTCGAGAAGCGTCCCATCCCACAAGGGACCTCCGTCGAAGATCATGTCGAGAGTGAATTCTGGAGATTAGCTATGTCATCTGATCATGATACGGAAATCTTGTATGGAGCAGATAACAGTTCTAATGATTATGGAAGGTAATTAATTTTCGTATCATAAATTTAATTGGTTCCGCAAAAGTTTATTATTTTCTAATTAATTATATTGTTCTTTTAAATGAAGCGGATTTCCATGTAGTAAGGCCAACAGTACCGATCCTTATAGCAAGGATCCCTGGAATTTACGAAACCTTCCGAAGCTTCCTGGATCTCTTTTGAGCCACATCAGGCCAGCAATACAGGGAATGATGATCCCCTGGTTATACGTTGGCATGATGTTTAGTGCTTTCTGTTGGCACGTGGAGGATCACTATACATATAGTATCAATTATATGCATTGGGGAGAAACAAAGACGTGGTATGGCGTCCCTGCTGAAAGTGCCACGAAATTCGAGCAAGCTGCAGGAAGGCTGTTGCCAGAACTCTTCCAGAATCAACCAGACCTTTTGAGCCAATTGACGACGATTTTGAATCCTAAAGCGCTTATGGGTGAAAACGTCGAGGTCTTCGCAATCGATCAAAGACCAAATCAATTTGTTGTAACATTTCCACAAGCTTATCACGCTGGGTTCAATCATGGTGTAAATAAAAAAAAATATAAGCTAAAATCAACAGACTTTCTTTTTTGTTAATTTTTTATTGATAAACTTGTGTTTTTTTCTAGTTAAATTTCAACGAGGCAGTGAATTTTGCGCTACCCGACTGGGTAGATTTCGGACAAAAGTCCGTAAATTATTATAAGAAAATTAGACGTGACCCAGTCTTTTCCCACGAGAAGCTACTGGTAGACATAGGTCTAAAAAAAATTAATAGTTTTAAGGTTCTAAGCTGGTATGCTTTAATCCATTAATATGAATATAAGATTGGAAGTTTCTTTTCTTATAATATACCTTTATTAGGTTGAAGAGACCTTTGACCGAAGTCTGCCAGAAAGAGCTCCGACAACGTTGCGAAGTCGCTTCTTCGTTGCGTCTCCAGGAGGCCACCTATGATTTGACCGATCCAAAAGACGATGAAACGCTATGTACAATTTGTAGAAGCTGGACTGGTTTATCAGCTTTACAATTCAATTGCACAAAAAAAAAGATTTTGTGCTTAGAATGCGCAGAGCACGTCAATACTATCTGCAACTGTGAAGTTTCATGTTGCTATCTTAGAGTACGGTATTCGGATCGACATTTAAAAAGTTTGGAGCAACGTGTCAATGATTTAATGCAAATACGTAAAGACCGTTATAAAGCACTCATTAAGCACGTTGATAAAATAAATGCCTTTACGCTGGAACAACTCACGCCTATTGTCGAAACAAACTTTTCATACAAATTCGGTCTTCCTCTGGATGATATAGAACGTATAGTTGACGAAGCTATAAACTGGGAAAATAATTTAACTCTCGTCGCGTATGAAGCAGCGCGAAATATCTGGCCGATTGAATATCAGGACGTACCACTGAGTGAATTCGACATCACCGACTTTTTATATGATTGGGATTGCAGGCTAAAAAGTGTTTATCAAGCCGGTAATGACAGGAAAAGTTATTATTGCTTCTGCCGTGGCAAGGATGATGGTAGTAAAATGATTTGCTGTGATAAATGTGATACTTGGTAAATATACTTTTAATATATATATATTATCCATACGACCTTTTTTTTTTTTTAAAAAAAAAAAACTAACTCATTTCTGCTTTTATTGATTTATACGTGTTAGGTATCATTGTGAATGTATCATAATGAAAGCCGAAGATACGTCTAATTATGAACATTGGTACTGTGCTATGTGTCGTGCGCCAAGGACTGCACGAATTAAGTTCAATGAAAACATGAGACGGATAGAAACGCTAGCAAATGAAGCCGAGAATCTCCACATTAACCTTCCGTGTACAAATGCCAGTTTCATCACAGAAGTAAATGCGGAATTGAAAGGAATGGTCAACAAAGGTGATATAAATTCAATTCGAATAGGAGTTGGATTAGGATTCGGTGTTCCTCTGGATGGCTCTGTTGAAGATGACACCGAAGATGACACAGAAATCGTCAATCGCGTTGAAGATGTCGGAACAAATTCAAAACGTGTTGAAGATGATGTGGCTGAACCAAAAAAACGAAGGCGGGCCGTAGAAGAACTCGTTGAAAAAAAGAAAAAGAAAATATAAAAAATGAATATTGAACAATCAAAATGTTAGTGCAATGAATAGTAAGTAATATTATGTAATAGAGCTATTCAATGTATATATAATTTGTATATAGCATAAAAGCATGGCGTCGTTATGCGACGTTCATGTATTAGAAAAATAACCTTAATTTCGTTTTTATTGGCAAGTTAATATATCATTAAATTAGTAGAAAATTCTTTTTTATAAAAAATAGTTAATTTTTTATGCTTATAATTAATTATTATTATTCAGCGGATTGATAATAAAAAAAAAAAACCTAAACCTCTTTTTTATTAATAAATTTACATATATGATTTATTAAGTTATAGAAGTTAAAAAGTGGAATTCTCATTAATAATCTCTCTCATGATGGGATTTCGCTTTAGAATTGTCTCAACAAATACCATCGAATTAGTTGATTTGTATCTTTTTGTTGTCGAAACTTTATTATCTTTTTTGTCGACTTCAGTAATATCCTTGACGTTACTTAAATCAACGAATAATGGGATATCGTGCCAATATGGAGATCCATTATTGGATAGTTGATATATCTAAAATTGATCGTTCATTATGTTAAATTGGCAATAAGACAAACGACCTAATTCATTTTAGTATTTGATTTTAGTAAGACTTACCATATTATTCTGTTCAAGATAATTTATAATGTTTCTCAAGATTGACGACGCCCACAGTGTAGAACGACTTCCGACGATTATTAATTTGAATTTTGCTCGAGTTATTGCAACATTTATTCTTCGGTAATCTTCAAGCAAGTTTCCAACCTTTATCCAATTTATAAGAGTATTAATTAGATCGTGTTAATCATTAGAATGATGATAATAATATTATAATAATATGTTAATATTTACCTTTAATTCAGAATTCGACCTCACCAATGATAATACAATGACTTGTTTCTCCCTTCCTTGAAAACGATCGATTGTCGAAACTTCCAACTCACTGCAACCTTTAAATTTGTGTGCAATGTGTTTTAACTGGGAACGAAATGGCGTGATGATACCAATTTCTTTAGCAGGAATGCCTCCTGCCAGTAAAGCTTTGACGCTATGTTCGACAAGTATGACTTCCATATCATTTTGATATTTTCCTTTTGAAACAAATTCTTTGGTATGAAGGTTATCGGTGTCAATCATAATCAATGGTCGTTCAGGATCGATTACATCCTTTAACCAGCAACTGTCGTGACAACAATAATAATCCGGGTCATGAAATTGAGAAAGAAAATCTTCATTCCATCTAGGAATGAACAAACGTGTTTGAGCCGTAATTGTTGACCCACTAAGCATATTGCTATCATAAATTACCGAATTGGATAAGTTCATGATTTCTTCATTCATTCTGTATTGATATCTTAAATTTGCAACCGCATTTGGATGAATTTCTGTAAACATTTTAAATAAACTCTTTTCCATTCCTTTCTTAATGGCTTCATTTCTACGCACTAAAGGTTGTAACTGATTGTGATCACCGACTAAAAGAAAACGGTCCGCAAAGCGAAGTGGCCCAATACAAGTTGGAAGTGTTATTTGCGTTGCTTCATCAATGATACAATAATCGAACCTTCGTTTAGTAAATATTGGACTATGTACGGACGGGAAAGGTAGGGATTAATGAGAATGATTCGGTTGTGACATAAAACATGCTGTTCGAACTTACTTATTCATTCCGAGGCATGTGGTTGCAACCACTTTCCTAGTTTCAATGAAATCAGAAAATTCGTCAATATTCTCAAATTTATTGTTGTCTATTATAAGTGGCCAATTGCTTTTGTGAACTTTGCTTTTATCACCAATTCTCAATATTTCTTCTCCATAATCACTTAATTTTGAAAGAACATTATCCACGGCCGAATGAGTATAAGAGGCAAGAAGCACAGAATCTCCTCTACGTAAAAGAGCCTTAATTATTTGGGCTATAGTAAAAGTTTTTCCTGTCCCTGGCATTCCTAAAATTAATGCATAATCTTCGGCTAATATAATTTACGTTTAGTATGATTAAATTATGTATAGTGATGGTTGAAATAACATCATTTTTAATATCATGCATTTGACCGTACCATTCAAAGCCAATTCAAATGCTTTAACTTGGTCCTCGTTCAAATCCTTTTTAAGATCATTATAATTTATTAATGTAGGGAAAGTTCGACAGTATTGTGGTGCTTCGAGATTAACGATCAATTTTCTTAATTTTCTAGTTGAAACATCCATAAGGAGACTAACAAGATTTTGCCGTACGAGCTTTATGCTGGAGGTTAACTCATCTCGATCGATTCGGTAAGAAGTTGTCGCCAAGTCAAATCCTAATGGATTTTTAAGTATTCCTTCTTGTTCCGTTCTATCTTGTAATCCTAAAAAGCTGTGACAAGTCTCTATGTCAAAATCGTTTGCTTGTTTTGGACCACCACAAGGTTTTCGGTCCAAAGTTAAACAAATATAATCTGGCGCGATTTCATTCACAAAGCCAGTAGCTAGTGCATAATGTCCTTGTTCAGAAGACACAACAACAAAATCATTAACACAAAACTGTGTATATAATATTGAACTTTCTTTGCTATCAACTTGAAAAAACTTGCATTTAAGTTGACACAATCCGGTAGAACCTGGAAATTCTATTATGCTATTCAAATCTAAATGCATATTATAAAGACTTTGGGTAGAATCGCGATTTAAGCTTGATGTATTCCAGATTTGTGGTCGTACTTGACTCACATCCTCTTCTTCCAACTTAATTAGTTCCTCCCACTTTCGAAAGAATTCAACATGAATTTCACCAAGGTGAGCGGTGGCTTCATTAAAGAGTTCAATGACACCAGAATCTTCTGATTTACCGTTTTCGATAGCCTTGTGATAGAGAAAGCACGTGGATCGGATGTTGCATTTACCGCACGATTGAGAATCTTTAATCATTGGTGGCAAAATATGTCGTTGTCGATTGGACATGTACCAAGTGATTTCATTACGAGTCTTGATTATTTCTCGTAATTCTTGAATTGACACGTGAATCCTTTTTAATTTCCCCGCATTTTGATCATTTCGATCATTATTACTCTTTACGTAATAAAGTAAACCTGATTCAACATTAACTTTGTAATGATCATTCATCATCACACAATACAATATGGTCTGTAAATTATGAGTGAAATCCTCCTTCCAGGCAGTTTTTATTTCTAACGGCATTATATATTTTTTCAAAGTCCTGTTCTCCAAAACTTTGACTTCGATTGAAGCATCTAAAATTCCTTTTAGTCCAAATGTTGGAGACCAAATACGTTCCTCAACGTCCAAGGTTTTGCTAATACAAATCAACGAATACATATCCCCTCGAATGCTTTCAACCTTTCCCAAATCAAACTTTGGCAATTGATTGACATAACATTCGGCAAAATTACGATATATGATTTTTTTATCCGCCAATTCCTTAATAACTTTAGATTCTTTTAGATTAGAAAAGTATATTTTTGGAATGTTTTTTTTCATGACCTGTTTTATTTTTGAATCCATAAAAGATGGGGAAAAGTCATTACTCTTTAAGCAATGTTGAATAAATTCGTGACTAAGCGTTCCAAGTACGGCCGCTGGGGTATTAAAATTACCACTACTTATTCGGTCCTTTAAAATAGCCCTTCTCATACAACTGTATGCCTCGCTAACACAAGTAGATGACACTAGCACATCGGGATTAACTATTATAAGAACATTATTCGAATCTTTTGCTATACAAGACCCGTCTTTAAACTCGCCAATAATACTAACAGTGTCATCTATACGGAAGTTGACGATTGTTATGTTAATTACGTGAATTCAAAACCGAAAACAATAAATACACATTTGGAAAACACAAACTCTTGAAAATTTTTGTATCCATCCATGAATCACATAAAATGAGAAAAAATTCTTCCAAATTATCTTCATTTATCAAAGTCACTTTCTATTAATATTTACAATTAATAAAAAAAAACATATGGTATTATAGTAAAGGTTTAAAAACGTGTATAAAAAAAAAAAATGTAAACTTGTTCACCTTTGATTTATGCGCGTCTTCCACGTTAATCACTAAAAGGTTATGAAATTTCGACTTTTCTTGAGGGGTTTCCTTCTTTTCATTTCTTTCTAAAATATCTACATTTTCCTTTTCTTTTTCTTTTCCGATATATTTTGTTATCGGTACTTTTATCGACTGACAATAACCAGATCTCTGAGATTTATTGGGCTGAAAATTTTCAACATTTTCTTTATTTTCCGTTTGTCGTTTTCGCGTTATTCGTGGGCTCTCAACGAGAATATCTTTTTGACGAGTTAAAGTTAATAAGGTAGTGTCGACAACGCGATCGGAAGACATAATGGATTAGAAGTATGGTCAGAAAAAAAGGGATCTAGCCTATATATAGATAAGAGTCGCATGCTTGACCGGATTATTTTTCAACTCAAAGTGATGTGACACAACGATAATATACAAATTTCGGATAAGTTTCTGGTTTTAAGTTTACGTGACTAACGCGTGTGAAAACATTTGGATTAATAAAGAGAATTTGCACGTTTTTTTTTTTTTTTTTTTTTTTTTTTTTTGCGGGAACCTGTTTTACTGTCAAATTATCCGGTTTTTTTTATATATATAATGAAATTAATTAATTATCTTGCCAAAAAAAGTGAAATTTTTTATTATGAAAAAATAAAAAAAGGCCCAATTAAAATTTTTTTCTATACAAAAGATTTAAATATGAAAAAAGTATAAAAATTTGAATATTCAGTATGTATCTTATAATTGTAATAATACAAATGAATTGTTGAATTATATTATCTCGCCGCCTTCACCACTTGCTACCGAAATATCCTTCCCTTGGGTTATCGATACTTTAATAATCGATAAAAACGAAACCATTTACATTGAATTCATTTGAACATCTTCATTAGTCATTCCATCATACTCAACTTTTTTTAATTTTTTAATAATAAATAAATTTTTATTATTTTTAGTTTGTGATTTTATAAAAGGTGTTTTAAACCCATTTACTGTAACCGAATTATTGTTCGAATTGTTCGAAGTAATCTTTAAAGCTTCATCATTATCATTTATAATCTTTTGTGGTTCTAAATCAACGCCCGCATCATTATTATGTTCAGCTACATCATTAAAACCAAGTTCTGATGCTGCTCGTTGCGGATGATAATTAGCATTTAGTATATTCTTCATCTCTAAACCACTTCCTTCAGAAAAGCTCGCAGCTCTAGAACGTGGTTTACGACGAAAGTCAGATTGATCTACTTCAGGCTCTAATTCGTTCTTCTTTGGTTCAGGTCTTTTAGTTTTTTTAAGTTTTGGCCATGATGGAGGAAGTGGAAGTGGCGGCGGACGAGTTGATGATGAAAGAGGTAACGGGGGAGGTGTAGATAGTACAGATAATGATCGAAAAATTGGAGGTCTAGGTATCATTGATGGGATTGGTGATGACAAAGTTGATTTAAATGACGAAATTGAATTAGTGTTAACTTTTAAGGGTGGCGGAGTCGTCGTTCGTAATATCGGAAAAAAAGATGAGGAAGACGACTTCGTAGTTGAAGGTTGACTCGTAGTCTCAGGAAGATCTGTTAATGTCGTATTTGAGGATGCCTGAGCAGAAAATAGAGACTGTGATGCTGAAAGAATTGATCGTGGAGTTGCTGGAGTTGATGGGGTTGATAAAGGAAGAGGAGGAAGCGATGATGGAGAAATGGGCGGAGAAACTTGTGGAGTTGGTGGTCTTGAATATTGAAAAGGTGGTGGTGACTTCGTTAATTCCTCATATAATGTACTAGGAGGAGATTTATACTGAAAGTCTAATCGATATTTTGCATGTTTTAATTCTTCAAATAAATTTGTTGTATTGAATTGAGGTGTTGATGGCCTTGAATTTTGAGCTGAAGGTGAGAACTGTGGCGTTGATGGAATTGACGTGTGTAATGGTGTTACTGATGATGGAGAGGACAAAGGAACTAACGGAGGACTATCAGAATCGATTTCTGATAATGTTTGTGGGACAAGTTGAGGTGTTGGTGGTGCCGAAAATTCATTAGACAATTCTGGAGGAGGAAAATCGGGAGTTTTAGGTATTGATGTTTCAGGTGAATATAAAATTTCAGCTGGAAAATATGGTGCTGAAGGTGTCGGAGATATTGAACGTAAGAATAAAGGAGGAGGAAAATGTGGAGTTGTAGGACCTGATAAAGGAAATGAAGCATTTGAAAGTGATGATTGAGAAAGAACAAGGCCATTCGTTGGCGTTGATGGAGGAGGATGAGGATGGGGAGTTGATAGAGATGAAGAAGCTCTTGATGATAAGGGAGTGTCTGTGGCTGAAGTTGTAGTGGTGTGAGTTGTAGATGTACAAGTTGAAGTAGAATTGGATGTAGTAAATAAATTCTGCATTGAATCTTCCTCAGATACGAATTCCAACAACTTGTTCGACGCGCACAAAGGTTCTAAATTTTCAGTATTAACATCGGTAATTGCATCAATTATATCGTCAAGGCGAGCATTCATGGCAGCGACAGTTTCATCTTCCTTTTCCATAACAGTATTTTCTTCATTATTAATGTTATCAAAAATTTCCATTAGTCTGAAGAATTCATCTTCGCTTTCATTTTCATTTATGATGTCGTTAACAATATTCTCATTGATTACTTCCTCACTAATTTCTGAAATACTATCCAAAATGATTTGTGTTATATTCTTTTTCTGAATGATTTCGTCTGCCGGAGACTCTTCCTCTCTTCCAGCGAGTTCTAAAAATGTATTAATTGAAGAAGTAATACTATATTCAATAGTACTAATATTAATCATTTCAGCATCATCAAAGTTGCTTTCTTCATTATGAGGTATTGTAAAAGTTTCGGACTCCATTTGTGAAGTTGATTTTAATTCAGATTCAAACATCTCAACCGTTTTATGTTGATGATTTGGCATTGATTCGGACTCTATAATAGTCTTATTCTCATATTGTATTTCCTCATCATCATTCTCCGTGATTACTTTACTACTATCATCATGTTCGTTGGTATCATCAACGTTCTCGTTTAAATCCTCTTTCTCGAAATTATTAATAACAATTTGAGATGAAATTTCAACATCCTTTGCAACTACTATTATTTCTTGTTGGGAATTAGTTGATGATTCATGTTCTTCCGATATATCATTATGCTGAATTTCCATTGTTTCAACTTCAAGCTTAGTAGGTTCATTAGTAAATGATGAAGTTAATGGAGTTTGTGATCGAGGAGGAACAATAATAGTAATTGTATCATCACTTTCAAAATTAATTATACTACTTTGATCGTCAATTTGAACTTCTTTTATTTTCTTTGAATTTGCTCTTTTGGATAAAAATTTTTTACCATTATCTACAACGTTATAATTAAGATCATCGGAAGATTCATCATTGATGACAACATTCTGTTGTTGATGTTGTTGCTGTATATTATTGTTGTTACGATTTCCACCGAAACCAAAAGTTCTCATAAGACGATGTCCGGCCGATTTCTTTCTTGAAGGAAGAGGATTTATTGCCCCTGAAGAAGCATTAGATGAAATTGTTGAAATCGTAGAAGATATTGAAGGTGACCGTTTTAATGTTGGAGTTGCAAGAACAGGTAAAGAGGCTAAATATGCAGCTAATACTGGTGGGAGAGGTTTAGACGATTGAGAAGGTATTGAAGATATTTTGATAGGTTGTTTATCATTTTGTTTCTTTTTCTTATCTTTAATATTGTTATTCATGTTATTATTAATCATTTCAACGTTATTAATTGAGGAAAGTGAAGGAGTTGGAATTCCCAATATATGGATATAACTCCAAGCACGATCAGGAGCATGAAACATAACATCTCGAAGAATCTCAATATGTGAAACTGTATCGGCAGTAGAAATCCTAGAAGTTGTAGATAATCTTTTCCTGTTGGGACTTTCGTCATCATTATTATTGGAAAGACTTAAATTATAAACTGAAGCGGCACGACTTTGACCTGCTGATTTGGAAACATTAAGAGTCATTGGTCGTCCACCAAAACTATACGCTTGCATTGTTCTTTGACGATCCCATTCGATTGCTGTCATTGTCCAAGAAGCAGCATTCCATTGCTGTCTTAAAGTAACAATTTCATCACGAATTACATCAATGGCTTGTTGAATTCTACGTGCATCATCAGGAAATTTGTTGAATTCATCTGGATCAAAAAAGAAATCTTCAAGGTTTTGTTCGTTAACTTCAGAGAAATTATCAACTTTTTGTAAATGTCTAACTAATTCTTGAGTGAAATAGGTTCGAGAAGCTTGTAAAATTTGCATTGCACGGCGAGAACAAGCGTACAAAGAAGTATTAAATGTAGCGTGCTGAAGAGCGTCATATAAAGGAAAAGGATATAGCATGCATAAGCGAGAATAATAAGGGCCACGAATGTGATGTGGTTGACGCATAGGTTTAACAATCATAATAATACGAATAAAAGGTCGAATCGTATTTCCGGTGTTAAAAGAGGAGAACGATGAAGCCATATGTGAAACAGCTTCTTCAGCGATAGAAGTTGCGGCACCCGTCGAAGTACAAGTTTTCACAATTGAACCAACATCATCTTCAACTTCAGATTCTGGTGCACTCGCTGCACTTAAAATATTTTCTTTATCGGGTGAATCAAAATTAATGTTAATGGTATAATCGTCTTGTTCATCTTGCGTAAAACCTTGATGTTTATCCGCTCGCTTTTGTTCCTCTGATTTTTCTTCTTTTTGAGATTTTTGCAATTCCTTTAGTTTATCTTTTTCCTCCTCTCCCTCTCCTTGTTTTTCATGTAATTTATTATTATTATCATTACTAATATTATTACTACTACTACTTTTATAAAAGCTTTTAAATTTATTGTTATTATTGTTATGTTTATTATTATTATTATTATTATTATTATTATTAACATTTGGATCCAGATATAAATCGGTTGGAGATGAAGAAAAGTTACCACATTGTTCAATAATATTATCATCCAATTCACCCATCATTGTATACATTTGATTAGTTTGTAAATCTAAATAAATATCAACGGTTTGATCACTATAAATATCACCAGAATCCCAATTAAGGCTTGTGTCATGTTGTAACTTGTAATAACAATCTAAAAAAGAAGTTTGAAATTGTCCTAAAGTTGACTTATTATGGTTCTTATCAGATTTTGTAGCCATTACTGAATCCACAAAACAATCCTGACTTAAACAAGTTAATGATTTAATCCAGCTTGCCTCCTCAGGAGTAATTCTAGCTTCGTCACGAACTTTACCTAAAGGAATAAATTGTTTACGATCTTTTGGTACTAATATTTTAATACCTTGTAAAGTACTTTCGGTATATAAAACACCTAAATAAAGTCCAGGGGATAATTTCGTTTGACGTGAGCACCATTTTTCTATATAATTAGACCAAACAGGATGTGGATCTTTTTGATAAATAGAATTTGATTCTTCAAAACTTTTCCATTTTAATGTACCGGATTTTATCAAATCAGGAGCAATTTCTTCTCTAATACAATTCGGTACATGTTGAAGAGCTACAATAAATTTTGATTTTGATGTATTCATATATACAACATGTTCGTATAATATTCCTAATGATTCTAATGATAATTCATTCTTTAATCTTAAAGCGGCTTGACCAAAAGCACGTGACCATGGAGTATCTTGATCACCATAAAATTGAGAATGATTATGATCAAAATCTCCTGTAGTACCATTACTTGAATTTGATTGAGAAGAGTGGAAAGAATCAGAATCACTAGAATTATCTTCTTTAGTATCAAAATCAGTTGAAGTAGCCCAATCCAGAGATGTTCTTATAACATGTGCGAATTCTTCACTATCATCTTCAACATTACCAAATATTATACTATCCTTTATAACTTCAACAGTAGGAAACATTTTTGCACTTGATGTTATCAATACTTTGTTATCACTTGTAAACAAGATAGCAGATAAATAAATTGTTTCTGGCTGAAAACGCGTTTTCAAACACGTCTTTGTACTACTAAAAACTCCCAGCCGTTTTATTGTTTGTACAGAGGTATTTGGAGATAAACCATTTGATGAAACCGAACGCTGAATGTGCATAGTTCAAAGTTGTTAGATCCCATCACGTGGTAATAAACAACAACAACAACAATAACAACAAAAAAAAAAAACCTTTTTTGGATTTTCTTCATTATATACAAGTTCAAGGTATTCCGGTGTCTTTTTTCGAACTACCAATGTATCCTACATAAATGAGAAAACGAGATCTGTTAATTAGAAAGACTTTTAAAAAGAATTTAAAATACATATGCACTTTTTTTTCTTACCTCAGCCGGGTATGATGACAATAAGTGTGAATCGCATAACCAAGTTTTAAATAATTCGCTATATAAAGCATAATTCCATGAATCATATATACCCAAAGTTCTACATGCCTGAGTTGAATGATAAGAGCGAAAAGTGAGCGATAATCGATTATTCGTTTATGAATATTATCTACTTACCCTTTCAAGCACAGCTTGAACAGAAGTTCCTTGTGAATAATCAATATCAACAGGTATTTCGCGGCCCTCGAGCCGTACTTGTATTAGACAAAAACTATAAATAATTTATAATTTGATAAGATTAATTCTTGTTTTTTATGCGATATAATGTATACACCTATTAACTTACTAGTCCATATATATATATATATATATATATATTAGATCAAGCTTTTATGATAACTTTATAAAAAAATTTGACAAAAGCAAAAAGACAACTTAATAATTAGTGATGAGTAGAAAGAGAAAGAAAAGAAATGGATAAAATTTCTAGTAAGTTTACCAAATAATAATATACAAATAATATTCGTGAAATGCTAAAAAAGGAAAATAAAGGGTAGGTGCTGCAGACGATAAAAAAGGGAGGAGATAAGGTTCGATAGAAATTATTGTTTGAAAAATGTAAAATAAAGGAGAGACAATTTTTTTTCTTCGTTAAAAAAGCAAAAGAGCAAGCACCAGATTAAATTTGAATAACAGAAGTTTGATTATTTTTTATTTTTTTTGGTGAAACCCGATTGATATGGCTTCGGATGAGGTTTAGGGGAGGAGAGAACGACAAAAATTTTTGAGTGGTGCTTTTAGCAGTCGTATAACGAATAACAAAACTACGCTAATATAATCTCTGTATGATAATATGTAAAATGCAAATCTTCTCATCATATTATTATAATTTATAATTTAGTTCCTGCCTGAAAGAGAATAAATATGAGGGAAAAAAATATGGAATATTCAAAAAAGATTTTCATTTTTATTTAATACCAATTGTTTCATGATTATTACGTTTCACAAATGTTAAAAAAACCCACGCGGAAACCAATTAAAGTAAGAATGAATATTCTCGACCCAAGTATGTCAAAAAAAGTATACGACATCAAAAGGGAAAAATTCAATAGACTTTATTTATCAAGAAGAAATGCACGGATATTAATGTTTATTAGATGTTGTATAATATAAAAATGCATCAAACTTAATTATTTACATTTTTGGTTGGATGTTTTTACAAGTTAAAATCACCAATTAGTTATTTTCTTTTGTAGACATCCCTAACGTCAATTCACGTGATTCCATATTATTGGATATTAAAGTTGAAAAATCAAAAAAATGTGATGTTAATTTTCCACTTTGTTCTATAAATATCCGTAATATTAACATCTTTGTTAAATGTCCTTTGTTTATCTGATCTGGACTTTATGGAATTTAAAATTTGTAACAATGATAAATTGGAGTGTTTCGCATTTCAATGGAAAGAAGCAAGAAGAATTGTGTCATGTGAGATGCAGATCTGCATAAATACACTTTTATGAATTTTTTTTTTAATGTTACAATAATGTCTAATTCACTAAAATATCATGTCAAGGATTTATATAGAAGGGTAAATATTTTTGTGTATATTTATATTCTCTATTCCTAAAACATTAAATCATCAAAAATTTAGCTCCTATACTTGGGTAGAGAATATCCATTAGGGTATGAAAATTATTTTCGACCAAGGTTAAAAGCTGCATTTATGAAAAATCGTGATTTAAAAAATAATGATGAAATTAGAGAGGCTATTGATAAAGGAGAATATGTCATTAAAGGTATTTTTTTATATTGTAAATTTTTCTCATCATTTGAGATGTCAAATTAACAACGCCAATCATTATCTATATTGAATATATATATAAAAAGAATTAGAGGCATTATATTACTTGAAAAAATATCGTTCATTAAAACGATCATATAATTTATAATAACTGCATTAATTTTTAATTTTTATATGTGATTTAATGGATTACTAATAAAATAAATTATAAAATCAAAAAAAAAATAAGAATTAAAAAATAATAAAAATAATAATGATAATAATTAATAATATTCCCCTTTCATTAAACCGTTCTTTACTCTATACATTATTTATGCCATATAAAAATATTTATCTTTATTCTCTGTTCTTGAAATATATTGTTTTTCTAATAATTGTTCAATACATTTTTTAATCATTGGTACGTTGGGGGTAAACCGTGATCTTGCTTGATCAATAACTTCTTTTATTAATTGTGCATGTGTTAAAGTTTTTCGAGATTTCATAACACGTACTATAGCAGCCTAAAAAATTAAATCAAAATAATTAACAAAAATTATTTAATATTGGTTCATATTCTCAAAATTTTACCTGAAGATAAAGTTTTCGATCATCGTCAACTGCTTTTCGTGTTGCGTCAGTTTCTTGTGGTGTTTCAGCTTGTAACGATGAGCTAACCTTAATTTTATTTCGTTTACTAATCATACAATCAAAGGTATTAATTCAAAAATCTTTAACGAATATAATAATTAATTATATAATATAATAAGATTTTAAATACTTTGAAAATTCCAAGTTTAATTTTATTTCAGTTTCATCGCTAAGAGAACCACTAGGTTTTGAAACTATGAAAACCGCCAAATCTATCATTGGCTATAAAATATAATTATAAAATTTATCTTGATTTTATTATTATTATTATTATTTTTTTTTAAACAATAAAAAAAATTTACCTTCATAACCCTTCTCAGTTCTTGATCGTTAAGCCCTGTGTGTTCTATTATTTCTTTAAACGTAAACATATCTGCACCATTATACAAAAGTAAAACACCAAGCTGATAAAGAGACACGGAAAATTCATAACGTTTGTCAAGGTACGTTAATTTCACATCAGCTGAAATTAATAAATGATTGATGAGCTTAATGAATAAATATAAAAGATAATATGTTAATTACCTTTAGACAAATGCCATAACCATGTCAATCTTCTACCGCTATGCTGATTACTATAAAAGGTTGAAAAATGAGTCACACTCTTTTCCAACTAAAAAAATATAAACAAATTACTTAACCATTGAAATTCAATTACAACAAATGGGAATATATAATTCAAATACTACCTCTGTTGGCAATTGAAATTCAGTAGCTGAAATTTGCGTTAATGGCCAAGCACCGGCAGTTAATACCAAGATAGAAAAGTCAACTAATGTAATAATTGTAAATAGCATACATTAATCGGAATTTTTATAAAAAGCAATAATATGTAAATAATATGTGGATCTAAATCATACCACCAATATTCATCGGATTTTTTTTTAGAAAATCTGAAAAATCTTTATTGACATCTGCACTAATCGTGATATCAGTAAACATCCTTTGTAATTTACTAGTATATTCAACACCGCATGCACTCTGAAAATATATGTGTGTTAAAAACATGCTCATAAAATAAATTTGGACATGAATACTAATTTGTAACAAACTTTTAATCGGGAAATCATATTCATCTCCGCTTCCTCTGACGCGGAATTTCCATATATAAGACGTTTCGCAAGCATTCTAGAATAGAATTTTTGATAAACGTCTTTATCTTCAATATACTTGAAAAGAATAATCTATAATTTCAAATCAAAAATAAAATAATAAATCTTAAAATCATTATTTATCATTAAATAAACTAAATAAATAAATAAATAAATATAAACCATTCGATTTAATTTATCCTCAACTTCGAGTTCGCTCCATCCTCCTTTGTGAGTCTTTTTCAATAATACATCACAATAACGGGCCATAACCTCAGGAGAATGAGCAATGGGATTTATAGTTGCATTATTAACAATTGCTCTAAGAGCCTTATCAACTGCAGCAACAAAAGCTGCACCATTGACAAAAACTTTTTGACAAACTGTCAAATATTTTGAATGATGATTCAAAAGAGATTCTACATATTCTCTAGGGTCCTATTGAAATGATACAAAATAATTATATTAATTTTAAAAAATTGAATTTTAAACTTATTAAAAGACAGGATGACTACCTTAGCAATAGAATTTCCCATCCTAACTATCAGTCCTTTACCGATATTTGTAATATATCTTTCAAATATTTCTAATAAAGGATTTACACCGCTAGGAATACAAGACAAAAGTGTATAGGCCATCGTACAATCTATGTAAAATACAGTAAATTCTTGAAATCGAGAAAAAATTTAATCCTTTGATTAAAAATGATATTGTTTATAATATTACCTTCATATCTCTCATTTGAAATCATGGCCTCAAATTCACCCTGAATTATTGTTTGATGTACAGCTATATATTGCGTTTCGCATTCTTTGATTATCTATTTTGTTCCATTGTTCACAAAGTAAGGTCCAAGATATAAATGATACAGAAAAAATGATATACAACCTTAATTCAACGTACAATATCATGTGATGATTGATGACAATATTTCGAGTTTCGTGCCTTTTCCTCGTATAATCTTTGAGAAGCCTGTTTAATGATATCAAAAAGCATAAGCTATATAATTAATTTGTTTGATCACTCGATAATGTAAGACATAAAAGAAATCGTTCATTCCTTTTTCATATATTCAGAAATGCTGGCATTAGCGATTACTGCGGCAGACTCCCTTTCATAATATCGTCGTGTATTTTTCAAATATGGCTTCTCGAATTCTTCAATATATAGACTTAAAGGATTCTCAGTCAAATTATTGAGCTCAACTATTATTCGTCAAAATATATTTTTTTTAATATATACAAATGATTTTAAAAATATAATAGATGTATATTTATAAGTGACATTACCAAGTGATATAATTGCGTCTGACACAACATCAGGTACAGTATCTTCTCCATCCCTATCTCTTCGAATCATTTCAAATATCTGATGCATGAATCTATCAGAATGTTTTTCCTTGATAGAATAAACAATCTGCTTTTTCCATATAAGGTATGCCAACTAAAAAAAAAAATCATTAGATCAAACCTTTAATTGAATACTGCTCTCAGAAATCATACTTACAGCTTGAACGGTCTGTCGTCTATAGTTACCACCTTGTACTGTCATTTTTCTATCGGATATAGCTCTTGATTTGCTATTTACCAAAAGTTTATTAAGATAGTCACATATCATACTCGAAAATCCTGCAGCGAGACTATAATGTTTCCATTCTCTAGCATAAGCACTAACCACATCATCGTGATTTAAAATCGACTAAAATCAAAAGATCACGTGTAGAGTTTACTATTAATTAAAATATCACGTTAAATACTTTGTTCATATCTAGCATACCGCTCTTATTTGTATTGTATAATCATTCAAAAATCCAGCTATAGCATTAAACAATTTTTCGGTGTGGGGCCTTGGCGTAGCAGTACACATGTCATATACCAATCTAATAAAGTTAGTCCTGTCAAGGAAGACAATAAATTTGTTTTTCTTACGAGTAAATATGTTGTCTGTTTATAAAGGATACTGATACATTTTCATTCCCGAAACCTGATCTAATCCAGTGAAATTAAACATTTTTTCCAGATCCTGTCTAAATTCGGCAAAAGCCTTCTCAAAAACAACTCGTTTCGAACGAAGAGTCATATTTTGGTTAAAAAATGCTTCTAAAGAGTGGCTATAAAGTAAATCAATTCAAAACACCAGATAGAAAGTGAAATTTAAATATGCAATTTAATTTACGACGATCAAAATCACTTTTAGAACCAAATTTTTTAATTAGTTAAGGATTTTGTGAAACTTGGTAATGCATGATGGCGGATAATTTTTATATATAATATAATATAATCCAGTATCCACCACATATTTAATGTACAGGGTAATGAGTAGATTAATTACAGTAATTGATTTGATGGTTTACGGTGCATGTTTTTTTTGATAAGTAATCGAATTGAAGATCAGCAAATTATGATAATTTTTTAATAATATGATAGCAAATGTTCAAAGGTATCAGTCATGCTTTGCTATTTTCAAAAATGAGTTTTTTATGATTTTAACATTATTTCACATAGAACATCTGTTAAGAGCAACATAAGCTTGACCTATAGAGAAGATCTTTTGATCCAATGTTTAGTAAATTGTACCTGTCTTAGTACAGTAAAACGTCTCAAAAACTAAGACGAGTTACTAGGACGGGTTTTGATATGGAAGAAAAACTTCTTTCTTCATTTTAACTTGTTCTTATTTATTACGTCCTAGTATACTAGTTGTCCTAGTAAAAAGAAAAATTCCTATGATGTATTACACATATATCATATATATAGTGATATATACCAAAAAAAAAATAAAAAAAGATAAACTCAGATTTTTCTTAGGACGACTAGGACGTATGGGATAAGTAATCGAATTCCCTTTAATTCAGCTTAAAATTGCCATTAAGCTATATTTTTCCGTCTTAGAAACTCGTCCTAGTAAACTAGACGGGTTTTTCTAGAACAACCGGTGATAAAGTTGTATTATTTTACATCACTTTTATCTATACTTAATTGCTCACCAGTCCCTGTGTCGAAGCTAAGTCAGCTAGCTTTTTTCTGATAGTACTGTTTTATTTTACGGTGCTTTCTAGCATGAATATCACAATTGCTATATTTGAAAAAGGTTAATTTACTGCATTCATTACAAGGTACACGTGAGGGAGAATTCCAATGAATTTGACATCCTTCCGGTCAGTAGCATCCCCAATTGCAAACTTTACCACTCCTAAGAATATAAAGACATCGATAAAATGCCATTTTTGATATCTATGATTAGTTGGTTTATGTATCGATTTATATATTTCGAAATTAATTTACATTTTAAACTTTTTTCTCCTGAAATATATACTTTCTCTTGAACTGTATATTTATGACATATTATCATGATCCAATCTGAGCTTTCAGAATTTCTCGATGCCTCGCCCCTTTTCGCCTAGAGGCTAAAAAAGAAAATTACCAGGCCAAGCAATTCCTTATTCTGGTGAAAAATATTTGTCGGCTATCCTAACTCTGGATGATATAGTTGCAGAAAATGATGAGAGATTAACCGCAAATATTAATGATACTCTAACCAATTGTCGAGAAATTCCATTCATAGCTATTGATAGTGAAGGGTCAACAGAAAAGATAAAAGGAATGTACCGCTATGTATTGCGTCTTTATGGTCGCCTTATTAACGACCAAAAGGTACTGGTAACTCTTATAGGCATTCAGGTTTTCTTTGACATACTTGTATCAGACGAAGAAACTTCAGATAAATGCGAAGAAAAGTGAGCAAAATTCTCTTTGGCATTGTGAAATCATATAAAATAGAACACATTAAAGCATTCCCTTTCTGTAGATACTAAATGGAAAAAATACAATATTTACAAATTTATATGAATGGTACTAGGAGGAGAAAGGAAGCCATCTGAGCTATTCAAGAAAATAATTTCAAAATTGCTTCAGATGATTTATACTCATTCCACCGAAAGGTAGTCCGAGAAAACAGAATCCAACTTTCTGGATGGTTACATTAAACAAATATATATACAAGAAAGGCAAGCAGACCAATCCGCTCTATTCACATAAATTCTATGTATCTATAAAAGATTTCTGTTTACTAGAGGATTTCACAACAATAAGTAACTGATTTCCTATTTCAGCTCTTTTACGAGATCGTACTCTTGTCTTCACGTGGGATATAGAGACGCAATCATAAGAGTTAGGTGAATTTGCTGAAGTTCTTGATCTGAATCATAATGTTTTTATGATTGACACTGCATTAGAAAGATGATCCAAAACTACTAAAGCAAATATGTCTTGTCGATGTTGAGATGGAACTAAATCCACAATGGATCACGATCATATGTGGAAACTAAGAAAATCTGCTGAAAGCGTTTGCTCTCTACTAGTGAGCATTTGCCTCTGACATCCAAGTTAGGTTCAACGATTCAGACTATGATTAGCATTTCATTATAGAAAGAGCCTATCATCTTAACATACTCGAGTAAATATAGAAGCGAATAACAGAAAAGTTTGAATAAAAGGAAGAAATCCTAAAATGAAAATACTGTGAAAAGATTGGAGCGAAATCTGAAAATGATTTTGTAAAAAAGTATTCTGTTAAGGCTCTTGAAAAAGTGGAAGAGGATTTGAAGGAAAAGAAATGTTTGGGAGATCAATTAGGTCAAAATTACTGCAGATCTGAATGATGATTTCATTTTCAGTTTTCTTAAATTACCAGAATATATACCAATCGACATTCGAGTGTGTCTCAGAAAATGTTACCCTCATTCTGAAGTCAAAAAGAAAGGCTCATTTAAATTCTTCTTACAATAATGTGGTTTTGACAGTAAGACCAATATGCCATACAATAAAATGTGGAAATAAATTCAAAAGCAAAAAAAACCCCTTCTTATCAACCATAAGAAATATGCATGAAGTAGCACATTATTGTATTATAAACACATTGCGCTGTTAAGAGCTTTTGGTAAACCAAAGTATAATAAATGGGTAGTATTCTATTAAAATTGAGGTACGGATCATATGATTTACTATGTCTCGTAACCCACTTTTAATAGATCAGCTCCCAAATGATTATAGAGAAATCACCTCTATAGCTTACGTTTCTCTTTTCAACACACACTGCGTAAATAGAATGAAAGTACAGAACCTTTTCAGCGCATATGCTATCAAATGAGATATGGTAATTAGCACAAGGGTTCCTAAAGACATAGAAAAAGGGAAATATCCTGATGCGTACGTATTTCCACCTAAAAAAGGGATTGAAAGAGAAATTCTATAATGGGATTGGATTTTGTTTCATTATATCCTGATATTATTATGGCATATAACCTTTTCCCAGAAAAATTTATATTTGATCTAAAGGATGCTGATATTACGCAAAATAATGGAAATAACTTGCATAAGATTGAGTTTTCATTTAATAAACATATTATCCAAACTTAATACATTTATCATGATAGCCAAATAGAAAAGAAAGGCCTATACTTAGCTGTATTAGAGGATTTATTTAACAAGATGCTGGAGTTTAAATCACATCTGGTTTCACTAGAAAAGAAAAGGCAACATTTTAGGAAAATGATAAGTTCAGCTAAAAAAAGAGACAAAAGGATTCTGGAAAGCTTAAATTTAGAATACTCATCTATATGCTTCGATACGATTGTTGGAATTTGAAACAAAAAGCTTTAAAGATATATATGAACACTTTTTATGGAGAAGCGAGAAACTCAAAATCTTCAATCTTTCTTCACAAATTGGCCTGCAGAACTACAAAAGTAGAGAAATATAACCTTAATCTAGTTGCTAAATTCGTATTAAAGAAAGGGTTTAGGATAAAATATGAAGATACCGATTCTTTATATTTCACCTGCTCAGATAGGTATTATAAGAAATGCGATAAAGCCTTCCCCAGAAAAGAACTTTCCAAAGAAGCGTATTGAATCAAAATGGTCAAAATTACTATGGATGTGATGAAAAGGTTGCGCAATCCAAGGTTGGCAAAAGACCTTGAAATGACCTTGAAATGACTTCAAATGACCTTATTGTTATTATAAATTTTAAGTCAAAAGACCTTATAATTTGCCATCACTGTCGCAATTAAGTAAATGTTTAACCTAGGATAAAAAGTAAGATATCTTATCTAAAGATGATATATGATGAGGTATTATTTCCTGTCTGCTTTACTGGTAAAAAAAGTACTTTGGAATTAGGCATGAAGATATAGTAAACTTTAAGTCAAAAAAACTTTTCATGAAAGGGACAGAAACTGTAAAGCAAAATAAATCACAGCTTCTTAAATTCATCAGAGAGAATGGGATTTTAAAGAATTTATCATAATGGATACATGGAGGCCTAAAAAAAAATCTTTGCAAAAATCACTTTATGAGACGTATAAGGGAAAGAAATGAGAGGATTTCTGTTTTTTGGTGAATGCTTTAGCTATATTGTTATGAAGGGTCCTCATCTTCGTGAAGAGGAAGGCCAATTAATCACTAGTCAAAACCATTTCATTTAGAACTAATACCATTCAGTTAACATTCAGCCGATTCAGTCATATGATTTGGCAAAATTCAGCTTAAGTTACAAAAATTGATAGTTATTTGTTATACCACACATAATTTAGCATTATTTTGGCATTAGATTTTTCGTCAAACATTTAGCTGATTCGGTCATATGATTCAGAAAAATTCAGCTCAAGTTACAAAAATCAATAGTAATTTGTTACATCACACATAATTTAGCATTATTTTGGCATTAAAACCTTTCGGGTATAATATTCAGCAAAATTTCAGTTAGACTCAAGATTTGGCAACAAATTGACTATGTCTCACTGGTCGAAATCTGCTAAGCTGATTTTTGTAAAAATTATAAAAACATTCTGAGAGTAATCATTTCAAAAAGACGATACATTCGTCTTTAAAGAAATGATACAATTGTTCCCAAGAAACAATACATTCATTCCCAAAGGAATAATACAATCGTTCCAAAAGAGATAACAGAAATCATCTCAAAAGGAACAAAATATCATTTCCAAAAGAAATGATAGAAATCGTCTCAAAAGAAACGAAATATTATTTTTAAAAAGACGATAGAAATCATCTCAAAAGAAATAAAATATCATTCTCAAAGAGACGATAGAAATCTTTTCAAAAGAAACAATATAATTGTCCTAAAAAAGACAATAGAAATTGTCCCTAAAGGAATAAAATATCATTCCCAAAGAGATGATAGAAATCGTCACCAAAGGAACGATGTATCATTATTCTGAAGAACAATTCAATTATCATTCTGAAAGAATGATATTTTCGTCATTTTTAAGGAAGGTTCTGAAAGAATGATTTTTTCATCATCCTTTTGGAACGATTCTTCATTGTTCTGAAAGAACGATTTTTTCATAATTCTTAAGGAACGATACATCATCGTTCTGAAAGAACAATGATTTTTATCATTCTTAAGGAATAATTTTATTATTGTTCCTTTAAAATGATATTTTACATCATTCTATTGGAATAATACATAATTGTTCCTTTAGAATGATTTTCTATGTTGTTCTTAGGAACGATCAAAATATCATTGATTTTGCAATCAGATGATGCAAAATTATTTATTTATAGCATTTATGATAAGTAAAAAATAATATCTAAATTTCGAAATTTTAGTTCAGTTTACAATATAAAACTGATAAACTTTCGGAATATTCTGAAAAAATTTATTTCTTCCTTTTTTTTTCCTAATGATGCAATTTTTGAGCGGAAATTTAAATATTTCCTTTCTTTTTTCTTGTTTTATTAGGAAATTTTTTATTTTGGAATTAAGGTAAGCGAATCGGAAGTAACTTTTGTGACATTTTCCTTTCTTTGTTCTTGTTTTTAGGAAATTCTTATTTTAGAAATTAAGATAAGCAAATTGGAAGAAACTTTTAGATGGTTTTTAACTCTTTTTTCTTATTTTTTTTAGGAAATTTCTCTTTTCGATACTAAGATAAGCCTTTTAGAAGGTACTTTTGGATGGTTTTTAACCTTTTTTTCTTTATTTTTTATTTTTTCTTTACTTTCTTTAGAAATACATTAAGGTAAGCCTTTGGAAGTGGTATTTTCTAACTGTTTTCTTTATTTTTTCTTTACTTTTTTTAGGAATATATTAAGGTAAGCCTTTCAGAGATAGTATTTTAATAGTTTTCTAACTGTTTTCTTGATTTTTTCTTTACTTTCTTTAGAAATACATTAAAGTAAGCCTTTCAGAAGTGGTATTTTTGTGGGTTTTCTAACTATTTTCTTTATTTTTTTTAGAAATGCATTAAGGTAAGCCTTTTAGAAGTAGTATTTTGGTGGGTTTTCTAACTGTTTCTTTATTTTTTTTTAGGAATATATTAAGGTAAGTCTTTCAGAAGTGGTATTTTAGTGGGTTTTCTAACTGTTTTCTTTATTTTTTCTTTACTTTTTTTTAGGAATACATTAAGATAAGCCTTTCAGAGATGGTATTAGTGGGTTTTCTAACTGATTTCTTTATTTTTTCTTATTATTAAAAAATTAAATGTATCTTTTTTGAATAAAATATAATACAATATATATTCTTTTTGAGTAATTTATTATGTAATAATAAAATAAAATTATAAATCATAAATAAACAAAAAATGAGTTTTATTAGTTTCAATTTTATAAATAGTTGCTTAATTATTTTTGCTGATTGTTGACCGATTTTAAGCTGATTTATGCTGAATTTTGACCAATTTTAAAATAAATACTGATTGGTAACCGATTTTCTATTTATTCAAAGTGCAGATTTTTTGGTAATGATCAGCAGAATTAGACTATATTTTGGCTAACTTTCGGCACTTTAAATGTGACGAATTGTATTATTTTGCCTAATGATATATCAAATAACTACCAATCATTAATATCGAATGTTTTTTTGTATGGCATCTGAATTAGGCAACATTGGCTATAACTAAAAATGCTGATTGTTTTGGCAATGATCAGCAGAAATTAGATTATATTTTGGCCAACATTCAGGACTTTAAAAAAGTGATGAAATAGATTATTTCGACTAGTGTTAAAAAACTCTTTCTTCTTGTTGGATTTATTCCAAAAATTTTTACTTTAAAAAAGTTTTTGTTCAATGGTGACCGTGGCTTAGCTTACGAACAAAACAAAAAAACCCACCTTTCAAAAATATTTTTTTCTTTATTCCCACACCTTCTTCACATAAAAATTTTCGAAATATTCTAAACCGTATTATTTTTTGTTAAGATATTTTTTCTTTATCTCTTTTCAAAAAATTTTTCCGTTTTTTTCTCTTTTTCTTTTTTGCCTACAAAAAGTAGGCATCAAAGGGTATTCGAATCGATGATCATGATCAACATACTTTGGATAAACAAATCTCATATGATGATCCCTTTCCCTTTCTAAACAATACACTCTCTTTTGATTGGCCTCTACCTTTCTGCAGATCCTCTGTCGTCAAAAGTTACGTGTAAACTCAGCATAATTTTCTACATAATGTGATGAAACTTGCTTTCAGAACAATCCTAATCCCTTGGCTTGGTTGGCGTCCAAAATACCATTGATTCTTTTCTTGCCTTGGCTGGCTGGCTTAGTTTGGTTGGTAGTAATCTAAAGTGATTTTACCCTTAGATCCTTTCTCACTGACCTTCTGTAGATGTAGTTTAATTTCGTAGTGGATTCCTCATAATATTTTTTCTGTACTTATGAATCTATAAGTATGAAGAGCCTTTATTTGGATCTAGTTACTTGGATGCACCTTCTTCTACCAGGTGATCGTTTTAAGCTAAAATTGACTGGACTTTAACTAGAACTTATAAAGTTATTTTTTTAGTTATTTGTAAATTTCTATTTGTATCAATTCCCTACTTCGGGTGTTATTTTTAGTGTTAGATTTTTCTTTTGAGAGAAGTTGGAATTTGACAGATATTTAGAAATTATATGCTTTCTGACACTTTATTTTCACCCACTTTGAGGGTGGTGGTAATCAGTCGACTCAAATGAGTTTAAAATAGAACCACATGTGATAAGTTGTATATTTTAGTATTTTTTTTAGAATTTTTTATTTTTTCTTCAATTTACAATACAAATAAAGTACTGCAGCTAGACTGCATCATTAACAATTCAAAAAAAAAATTTATTTTGACTAGTGTATGGCCTCTTAGAAGATGTTCTAAGTATGATATTAGAAAAATATTCATCAAAAATCCATCTAGTGCCAGTCAGTACCAATGTCTAGAACAGGTTAGCTAATTTATATTTTTTTCTTATACAGGATATATCTAGATGTGAAAAAAAATCTTCCAAGCTAATGGTCATTACTTCAGATTAGTTAGATCAGTAAAGTTTCACCATCTTACTTGACTGGCTAGTATTCTATCAAAATAATTCCTTGATGCTTGTCTGTTTATAACTATAATAAGATGATCAGCACTAAAGTCAATTGTCATAGATATATTGGAATTAGGTTGTCAGAATGACTGGTGAAATTGAGTTCTAATATTAGCAACTGAAGGTTATCTTGATAATAGCTTTACTTCTCGCTCTATCTCAGCTTAAATATCAATTAGATCCCAAAAATTTCAATATGATTATTTGAATTAAGTAAAACAAGCTGATCTACAGTCTCTTTGCTAATACTTTCACATCCTTTCAAATCGAGATATTTTAAATTAAGACACGAACTAGCAATTTCTTTGATTGTTATATCAGTAATTTCACAAAAAGTAATGTCAAGATGCTGGAACTTTGGAGAGGAATAAATAATACCGCAAATTGAATATTCATTAATCTTTGTGCGAAAGACAATATTTAAATATTCTAATTTATGGCATGACTGTGCGATTCTCCATAGAACTCTATCATCCATTTTTGAGCACGTAAGCTCCTAAAGCCAGCTGACTGATTACCACACAAATTGAGATACTTCAGATTTGGGTATGAATCCACTATTAGTTCTAATACTCTATTACTAAATCCTATGCTATTTTTGAAATTCAAATGGGTTATATTTGGGCATGAATATATAATGCTTATGATTTTTTATCTGAAAGTGAATGGTAGTATGATATTTCAAGATGAGTTATATTTGAGCAATAAACTGATGTTTGCTTCCTGTATACTAGTTTTATGAATTTTTCAATCGTAAGAGATCCTTTGTATGTTCTATTCTTATGAATTTATTAAATCGAAGGCAAGCCTTTGCACAATAATTATAATCATTTGGAAGAGATTGCCCAGTATATAAATCTTTTCCTTTAGCTCGATGCGTTTTCATAGAATAGAAGCACTGCATCTATACCACAATCAGGATACGAATAGAGTAGGATAGAGAGATTTATCTAATGCTAGAAAATATAAACCTATTCTAATATTTATGGTATAATAAAAACACTTGTATGCGTTATAAATAATATGTATTATACATTGTATCTTTAAACAAAAAAATCTTTCGAGCAAGATTAAAGACACTTTGCATAGATCACTGCTCCAAACTAAGTCTTTTCAATAAAGATAGACACTATAATTAAGAAGTTGTAACTTGGTATGTTGCAACTCCTTATAAATTTATTTTAATATAAAAATTCATAAATAGTTGCAACTCAAAGTGTTGCAACTTAAGTTGCAACTAGTTAAAAATTTTAAAAATAATTATGGGAACCATCTTTACTTTCCACTATCTCATCTAATGCAAGCATCTATAAATCATCTATAAGAACTTTAAATGTATTCTTATGTGATAATCCTCTGAAGAATATATTTTTAAGAAGTTCTTCAGGATATCTTATGCAGATGTTACACTCTTTCAGCTTCAAATAAAATTTCTTTACCATATAATTGCCTTGAACTAATGATTCAGTCTGAAAATCGAAAAGAGTTTTTCTTTTGGACCATTCAAGATTTGCATCACTTTCCATATCATTTATACTGTGACACTTTTTTAGATTCTATACTTGAAGATAATCAAGTAAATTAGTTATATGCATTTTATATAATTAGAAAATTTTTTAATCGAAAATAAACCTCTATTCAACGTTCTTAACTATGCGGTAAGATATCATGCAAAGTGCTTAATTCTTTGAATCCCTTCAGCTCAGCTCATTTCAAACTACAAACCATTTAACCTTTCTTCATTGTATTTTCTTTGGTGTTTATGAGGAATAGTCTTTTTATCTTTTACCTGATTTATCTCAACTAAATCAGAATCTTCAGAAGACTCAGATGAATAAGGGAACCCTTACACTTTTTGATCTTTAGCGAGAAAGCTATTTCTTATATTAAGTTGATTACAGTCTTCCTATCCACACATTCGTTTAGATCTTTTAATTCAATTTTTAAGAATCTCACATCTTTCTTCAATCTTTTTACCCTTCTTTCTAAAGTGTTAGGTTGGGAATGATAATCTTCCAATTATTTCTTTAGTATCCTATTTTTAGCAGAAAGCACACTATACATATTTACATTTTGTTCAGGTCCAAGTAATTTGGCTATTTTCTCTGTACGTCTGATAACTTCCTGCTCGATATCTGTACTATTAGATGAATGCTTTCATTTTCGTGATATTTTATATATATTATATCTTGCCTCGAGCGAAAAAATAAAATTAATAAATGAATACCCGATCCTCTAATCCATATACTGTATGTGATTAGTTTTCATTGAAGAACTTGAATAACTTTGCCTGGTTAGACAGACATGTATAAATCATTATCAGGGTTAATCCATTTTTTCTTTTATCATTACCTAGTTCTTCTGGAATCCCTTTAAACAATTGCAAGGTAGGTCGTTCATTACGCTATATCTTTCTACTGATTCATGGTGACCTACTACTTGTCTGCAAGCCAACTTTTGTAAATATTAGCAATAAGAATCATTCCTACCTCCATGAATCCTGCTAGCATAGTCTGCACCTATCTTCCTCAATTTATTCGAAGTAATCCTATGTTGAACTAAAGTGAGATTAATTAGATTTTAATTATACCGCTTTTGTTTTTCATAAGAAGATGAATTTTTCTGTTATTGCTTTCTGAATCCAGACAAGTAACTTCTTTGCTCATATTGGATCCTTTTCCATTGAGAGGAAAGGCTGAGGTTCCCCTACTCCTGTTTCTTTTTTAGTTTTAGAGTAGCCAGTACAATACCAGGAATATTTAGGGTCATACCAGATTTCATCTGATGCTTCATATTTATCAATATGAAGAGTTGCCATATCTGCCGGTCGCATGCTTAACATTATCATTACATCAACCAAATCTTCATTAGAAGGTGATAAGGAGAAATTACATTTCTCGAGTCTTTTCTGAACTGGTTCTAAAAAGAAGTGTTCAGGCTAATTGACATCTTCAAATTTGTCAAGTACAAGCCATCGTACCTGAATTTCATTTGATTCAGTAGTAATATGAGGAATTTTGGTCGCTTCTTTTTTAAGATGATCAGCTCCACAATTCTGTATCTTTTTTCACAATAAATTAAGTCGAGAACTTCTGGCGATTGGATGCAATGCAGAATTTTCCAAATCATATAAAATTTGTTTTATTTTCTCAGACGGATAATCATTTTCCACAATTTTTTGGGCAATTTTATCAACAGTATCCCTGTCTTCTTTACGCTTTCCAGTAGGTCGAATAGGAATGAGAACTTTTACTTGTTCTTTAGTAAGCCCTAATTGTCGAAAATGCATTTAGTATTGGATTTTACCTTGCGATTATCCTTCAAACTTTCATTAATTTCTTCTATATATTTAGCTAGTTTAGGTGATGGAGTTTAGGAAGTCTATTTATGGCATTTCATGAAATCTATAGCAACTTTTGCCATATTGTTTTATGACAGTATAGTCAAGAATATTAAAACATACTAATTTTATATTACATATAAAAAAGTTTAATTCGAAAAATATTCCTGAGCGAACAAAAAATAATAATTCAGAATTTTATATCGCTTAGTTGTAAAGAACAAATAGACCCTTTTATCCAAACACTTTACCTATAAATTAGCTTCTTACTCGCTCTTTACCAAAGCATACCATTCTCTTGGAGTATGCTTATTGTTTTTTGGCATTTCTCGTCAGTATTGTCACTGGGAATAATCTTCTCTGATTACTTCACATAATTTGTCTAAATTCCTTTACTGCGGTAAGTAAATTCCTCATCGTCAGACTTTACAACCTTAGGGAATCTTATATCATACAGTATCTGGAATACCTTGGAATTACTTCACTTAACTTTACGAACTTAAGGGTTTAGAAACTTAGGAAATTAAGAGAATTTATATATTCTAAGTGACAAACTCAATCACAAGTTAGTGTAGTGGTTTACGATCAAATCCTAGATAATAGACACGTAGAAGGAAAAAGTATTTTTATTTTAAAAGTTGATTCCTTTATTACTTGAACTTGTAATAAAACTGAAACTCATAATAGAGTTAATTTACAACTTAAGCAAAAAGCTATTCTATTTATACAAAATAAATTTGCTACGGCTAACTAATTGCTACGCTATAAACTAACTAAATTTGTAAATATAAATATTAAAACAATGATTATAATATATATAAGAAATATAAGAAATATAATAAAAATAACATATATAATAATAATAATAAAAATAATAAATATAACGAATATAATTGAAATAATGAAAATAAGAGGAATCAGGCTAATCTTGCGAATCAGGCTGATCAGACGAATCAGGAAAATCAGGAATTCTGTAGATCATTTGGCACAGTACTTATTACGTCATCATTTTATAGGTCATTGATGATCAGCACAGTAGGGTTGATTTTAGACGTTGACAAATCTCCTTCCACTTGAATTTCGAATGTAGTGAGAAATATTTTCACTCTTGAAATTTCCTTTTAATTTCAAAAATTTTTACTAGATTTTTACATATTTTACATAAATATGTAGTCCACGGTAATTAGACTAGGCTTTACAGCCAGATCCCCCTTCAAAGACTTAGATGTTGATAGTAGTAGTCCGTAGTAATTAGACTAGATCTTAAGATCGGATCACTCTCAGGACTTTCAACGATTATAATTATAGTTTGTGATAAACTTATATAGAACCAAAATTTAATAACCTTTGAAATTATAGGACTTCTAGTCATATAAAAACTGCTTGTCATACATTGATCTACATCAAATAAATTTTATCAAAATTTCTCTTCCTTTAAAATTAAATCATTCCAAAATGCCTTCAAAAAGTGCTATTCAAAAGAAACTTGAACGAAATAGAAGCTTTCGTACTGAAAGAAAAACAAAAAATCTTCAAGAACAGCTTGCTCATCTTCGCTTTTTCCTTCGCTTAGAAGAGCAAAAGAGGCTCCTTGCTGATGAATTACTTGAAGTTCATCAAAATTCGCAAGAACTTCGTGAAGAATTAGAAGATAGGAATAATACAATTTTACTTCTAAGAAATTGTGAAGAAGAATTATTGTGAGGTCTGGATTTTTTAGAGATCCAAAATCTAAATCAACAGGCTACAAACTTGCAGGAACGGTTATATTACAAGAATGTTTTGGAGGGAAGAATTATTGTTGATGTGGATAAGACTTGGTGGTGGATTTGTATTTCTCTTTTGGTTAGATTTCTTTTGGGTTATTTTGTTTTCGATATATTTTTTTTTGATTATGTGAATTTGTTGGATTGGGCTAGTAATTGTGGCTGAGGTGGAGTTCTTGTTGTTGATCAAAATTAATAAATTTTATTTTATATTTCGTGACTTAATCATGTTGATCTGATTTTCAATCGTGATGTACTAATCTATCCCTATATCAGGAAATTTCCTTCAAATTCAATTTTCAAGTAATCTACCATGAGGAAAATCCTTTTAAAAGTGAATACGAATCTAAAATTAACTTCCTGATCGACTGATTATGCAAACTAAACTTTTCCAAGGCAGGCTATGTAAAATATTGCAAATATTTTTCTATATTAAGAATTTGTATACATTATAACTCATTCTTAAAAATCATGCAATATTTTCTCCTTGTACTTTTGAATGTACAGATACTAAATTAAGCTTAGATGTTGCATCTGAGTAGATTCTAAAATTATTACATCATTTTTGTCCAATCAAATCAGCTTATCTTATTTTGATTGTTATGTTTATTGATCCATAAACAAGATTTAGTCATGTTCTACAAATTTCTTATTTGTTGATTGTCACTAACCAATAGATACTAATATCCTTTTGTTTATTTTTCTGTAAAAGAAAATTTTCCCATGTTATTTAAATTTTCCTCTGCCGATTTTTCAAATATAAAATCACCTTTTTTAAATTTCTCCTTTTTCTCAAAGAAAATTATTATACTACCAAAATTATTGTTATTTTCTTTTTGTAAGTTTTTGATTTCTCTTTGAAGATTTAACGAATAATACTTAATGTTACTGTGATGTTTTGAGTTTACTAAAGTATTGAGAGAACGCCACACATCTGATACTTTTTGAGGATGAAAGACTAGAGATTGAATGGAGTTAATATAAGCACTATATTAATGTAGATATTTATCTCATTTTTCTTTCCAGTAAAATAGTTTATACACGTCGTCAAAGAAGAGCTATGATCAGAGTAAACAATAAGAAATCTCCATCCACTCATCGTAAAGCTTTAATTTATCAAAGAGAACATAATAGTCAAAGAGATTTTGAAGGTGAGACGGGTAGACTTAAGAATAGTCTTAGACTAGATGACTGGGTATATGGAACGTATCTCAGCACGGGCTTTGCCTGAGCTTGACGGAATATGCAACCCATCCGTCGTCTGAAGGAGTATGACAGTATATTCGATCTCACTTAGTTTGACTGCAGCATTCTAACATTTTTGCGTTAACCGCAGGATTTCATCAAAATACTTCTTTGGCAAAGACTCGTCAGGAAAATTTGGAATTACGTCAAGAAAACTTAGACCTAAGTAGACAATTAGCAATTTCCTTAAATCGTTCTAATGAATTTTCTTTTTAATGTACTCGTTTGAAAAATGAATTGACACGGCTTTCTTCTCTTTTAACCTATAAAAAAAACAGATCTGATAGATTTAAAGAAGCTTGTCAACAGTATAGAGAAGAGTTATATTTACTCTGAAAAGAAAGTCGTCCAGAGGATCTCCAAAGAATACAAGAATTAAATCATCTAGTTGAACAACTTTGCCATAATTACGAGCAATCTCTTGATCATTAACATGCTGAAAACTTGAGGAAATAACTAGGTAAACTGCGCTCCCTGTTTTACCAGAGTTTTAATAATACAGTTTACAAGATTGTTAGCATAGCGAGGCTCAAGGAATAGTCACTTAAAGGAATTTGCTTTCCTAGACACGGAATGCGAGTGTGTCACTCCCTGCTAACTTTTACAATATCTTCTTTTGTTCATAATAGATAATTTGTATCAAATTTTCTTCGATTTCTCCAAGAAAAAGATCTTTTCAAATAGTGGTGTAGAATATAGGTTTTGTGTAAGATTTTGCCATCCTCACACGAATTAAGTATAATTTTTCTTTTAATATTCATTTTCATAACCAGATATTATTAATTTCTACTCGAAGGAATACTGTACGCTTCGGCTGGCTTTAAACTACGCTTGTCGTACGCTTCGGCTGTTCATGAGTCTACTCTCTTTTGTAGCTAAATATTTTTATTGTTAATTTAGTTTTCTAAAATAGTTTTCTCTATATGTCTTTTATCTTTTTGTTTTCTCCAAAAATTACGTATTTTCCAATATTTAATAAACTTTTGCGCATTATTGCACTTTTGCTTATTAAAAATTTTATAATTCGTCATATGTTATCAAATGTCATCATTCCACATGATATATAAAATAAAATTAAGTAATATAAAATAATAAAAAAAACAAAATCTCTATATCTTTTTCAATAAATTCTTTTTCTATTAGCCAAATGATCTCTTCATCAGACTTTACAACCTTAGGGAATTTCTGCCTCCTATAGGTATCTGGAATCATTTGCTAAAAATTTCCATGCTTTTTACTAGGCTTAGCAATAACCTCCACAGATTTTTCTACGGGATCGGTGAAACCCCAAAGCCCTTACTTTTCATTTAAGGCTCAGTAGTAACCCTTTTTCCTTGATAAAAATAATAAAATAAAAATAAAAATAAAAATTTCTACATTTTCTCAATTATCTCGGCATCCAGTGCTCCGATTTAAATGAAACAAATATCATCGTGATGCTTGACATATGACGGTTCTGATGGTCTAAAAATTATAAAATTCTGATCGGTCGAAGTTGAAATAATGGCGTCCGTAACATTCGTATTAAATATGCATTGTAATATCTTCCTTTATCCAATAAGAGTATTGGTTAAAACATGTGACTTATACCGGACTTTGTGCAACTAAAATATTACACAAGCTCTCACAGGGTTGGCGAAGGTAGGAACTATTCGATGAATCTTTGTGTAACCTTTGTGTAATCTAAGATCAAAGTTCCACTCTCTTCTCTTAAATTTTCAACTTGGCTTACTTTTCTTCTTAGTATTGGCCTGGCCAGTGATGTCCATTTCCTATGTCCCAAGCATTTGCTGTCCCAGCTATATGTCCCAACTATATGTCCCAACTATGTCCCATATAAGTCCCAAATGTCCCATCTGTCCCATCAATGTCCCATCAGTGTCCCATCAGTGTCCTAACTATGTCCCATGACAACACTGGGCCTGGCAGGAATCACCACTTTGTCACTGAGAATTATCTTCTCTGATTACTTCACATAATTTGTCTAAGTTCTTTTACTGCGGTAAGTAAATTCCTTATCGTCAGACTTTACAACCTTAGGGAATCTTACGTCCTACAGGTATCTGGAATGCTTTGGAATTACTTCACTTGACTTTACGAACTTAAGGGTTTAAGGACTTAGAAAATTAAGAGAATTTATATATTCTAAGTGATGAACTCAATCACAAGTTAGTGTAGTGGTTCACGATCAAATCCTAGATGATGGACACGTAGAAGGGAAAAGTATTTTTATTTTAAAAGTTGATTCCTTTATAGGTGAGTCTTATCTCTCTTGTACAAATGGAGTCTTGATAATGCTGGTTGAGACGCAAGAAGCTTCTTCATTATCTGACTCATAATTAGACTCGCAATTATTATAATTATCTGACCCTAAGTTGGATCTATTATTAGTACAACTGCTAGAGTTAAGTATTCATCAGACTCTGTACTATTATAGTAGGCGAGCATTAGGCTAGATCTAATGCGATCAGTTTGGTTGAAAATAGTTGAGGTATGCATGTCATTAGTTTGAAAAGGATTATAATACTTTATAAAATTCGAAAATGTTTAATTTATTTTTTTTAGTGAATGCAAAAAGAAATGATAGCGAACTTAGTCAGCAAATTGCAAAAGGAAGACAAGTAGATATGTATCCAGAAGATAAGTCTTCTGCAGAATTATATTATATAAAAATGGCAGAAGACTTATATCACATATGATATGTATTCAGAAAATAAAGGCTTCCCCAAAAGATCAGTCAAAATTATGGTATAATGTCAGCTAAAATTAATCGCAAATTCACTGCGCTACCTATTGCCTCTTTTTTTACACTATTTTAGTATTTTGAAAGGCAACCAAATAGGTATGCATCTCATCCATATTTACTAAACAATAAGTCACAAAGAGAGAAAGCCGACCCCATCTTTAGATCATATCAATTTAATAGATTACAACGTCCTAGGATATATTAATTAATAGATTATAACATCCTAGGATATATTAATTAATAGACTACAACGTCTTATGATATATTAGTCTGATATAAGTGGATTGTCCTAAGACATTTTAATATATTAATATATTAAAATGTCTTAGGACAATCTACTAATGATAAAATATCGTTTTAAAAAAATGATAAATAAAATCTTTCTGATAGAATGATAAAGCATTGTTCTAAAGGAATGATAGAAAGAATTATTTTGATATAATGATAAAACATCATTCTAAAGGAATTATAAATAAAATCGTTCTGATAGAATGATAAAGCAGTGTTTTATCAGAATTATTCTTTCTGTTGTTTCTTTAAAACGATGTGTTATTATTTTATCAGAATGATTCTTCTATCATTCCCTAAAGATGATATACTATAATTCTATCAAAATGATTTTTTTTATTGTTCCTATAGAATAATAATTTATCGTTCTATCAGAACAAAACTTCTATTGTTCTTTTAGAACCATATATATCATTCTATTTAAATGATTTTTTTTATACTTCCTTTATAAAAAAATTGTTAAATTTTTACTTGAGTTTAGCTTGACTTTAAGCTTGAGTTTTGCTTGATTTTGGACTTGACTTTGTGCTCGAGTTTTGCTTAATTTTTGGCTTGTATTTAGCTCGAGCTATCTCAAGTCGAGTTAAGCTTAACTTCAAATTCAACTCAAGTTAAACAAGTCAAATTTTTTTGATTTAATTCGACTTAACTTGACTTAA